TCTGTGTCTGTGTCTGTGTTCTGTGTCTGTGTCTGTGTCTGTGTGTTTATCATGTCTTCTTCCCCTGGCCACCCCACTTAGTTCAGTCCCTTGAGCTGTGCAAGACCAGGGCATTTGGCTTTGGTTTGCTTGTTTCTTTGAGACAAGGTCTGGCTCTGTGACACTGTTGGCCTGGCGGTTACAATGGAGACCAGGTTGACCTAGAACTTCAGTCCTCCTCAGACTCCCAAGTGCTAGGATTACAGGCATGAGCCTCGACACCCGACTTTTTGGTGAATATTTTATATGCAGTAATGTACACATGCCCCGCAGAGACTCATAATCTGTGAACTGCCATGGATCTTTTGGTTTTTATTGGCAGGTAGGTGCATAGTCGTAGCAGTGTGAGGTTTGAAGGCCCTGTTTCCCAGGTCTGATCCTTCTCTCATCCTGGCACCTGCTTGCTGAGCCCAGGCTAGAGCAAGGTCCCTCTTTGGGGGTATCTGGAGGGCTGTCTGCAATGCAGCGTCCCAAGTTGTCTTGATGAAGATAGAAGGGGGAGCAGGTGACCTGGGGGCGATGTGGGCACAAATAGGTTCAGGCCTCTCGAGTGGGGAATGGCCCCTGCTGGCAGCAGAGACAAGCCTGAGTGGCACTGACCCTGAGTGTGACACCCTATGACCATACCCTAAGACCTATCTACTCAGTACAGAACAGCATGCAGAAGTGACACCTGCCGTGGTTGGGACCTTGGGACCTCAGGCAGAGCTGCTTCTGGGAAGGGCAGAATTCCACAGGCAATCTGGACCAGGCAGGGGCAACTGCAGACCGCACTGCCAGGAGTTCCTCCTCTCACGGGTGGTGAAGGCTTACAAGGCACCAGCAACCCTGAGACTTGGGAGCATCCCCAGCCACGCTGTGAACAGAGGAGAGCTGCCATCTGGGGGAGGAAGATTCTGGACGAAAACTCCAAGGTTCTCAACCTACCTGCCAGTTTACTAGCTTTCCCTGGGTGCTGGGTTAGGATGCTTCGTCTCCTGTCAAGAAGTCACTGGAGGATTGTCACTCTGCATCGCAGGACAGCGCCTCCTCTGTGAAGAAACAGCTCAGATGGTAAAGTCACCAGCCTGTTCGTGCTGTGGGACTGGAGTCTGTGCATCCACTGTGTGGGCTTCTGTGTGCCCCGGTGGGTGGGCAGCTGTGTGTGGAGCCAGCAGCGGACCGTTCTCTGAGGGTGGCAGGCACCATTCAGCGCTCATTCCCCTCTGTACCTGGACGAGTCACCACCGTTTTAAAGCCTGTGTCTCTTTCTCCAGGGAGTCCTCCATGATAGTCCCACCTCTGCCAAGGCCCATTCACCCTGTTTCTCCTGTACCCGGCTTATCTCCAGGCAGCTCTTTGTCGCCATCTGTCCCGTGTCCCTCACTAGGGTCTGTCATTGGTTTTCAGTATCCTTGTCGTGAGGTTGGGTATCATCAGTGGGGACTCAGGAACTACATGAGGACAGAGGAAGGTTGAGGGGGGCTTTCTTCAGAAGATGGGCAACAGCCCTGGAGAAATAAGAGGACAGACATGAGCAGGGGACAGGGCACTAGGGGGTACTTCCATCAAGGAAGGGTCTCTGCTTGCCCTGGCTGACCTTGAACTCACCGAGATCTGCTTGCCTGTGCTGGGACATGGCAAGTTCCTAACCAGCAATATCACAGAAGCAAGCCTTCCCTTTACAGTCCGCTGTGGACCCTCCTGCAGAGGAGGAGGCACAGAGGGCAGCTGACTCCCTCTGAAAGTTTACTCAGGCTTCCTGCCCAGGCCACACAGTTCAAGTCAGACAGTCCCCTGGAATCTGGAGGTCATATGTGCAATTTACTCATGTCCTGTGTAAGTGTTTACTGGGAACCAAAAACTTTCTAGAGCCTTCCAGGCACCGGGCTTGGGAAACCCTGACAAGGGGCTGGGCTTCAGGATGCCCAAGCTACCTCATGGTACGCTAGTGCCCTGACCCCACCCCTGGGCGCCAGTCCCCGCTGCTGCCCTCTCTCTGCTTACTCTGGGCTGGCCCCTGGGCTTTGGGTAGAGATATAGAGGGTTCCTCCCTGCGGAGTCCATAGGGATGGGTCTGAACAGCCTGCCTAGGGCCCCACATGGGCAGCTGTTCCCGGAATGGGGGTTAAAAAATTTTTTTTTTTGTTGGCGAATATGCATGTGTCCTTAATTATTTATACATAGCACTTATCTCCCCCAAATGTTTGATCGGGATTCTGTAGACAGTCAAGCGTGCATGGCAGGCAACGGGGTGGAAGCATACAGACACAGGCAGCACCCAAATCAGCCTGGCCCAGGGGTGCAAGGTGGAGGGACCCCATCAGTGGTGGCGTTGACCCTCCCAGGCACTGGAGTTGGGAAGCAGCACATGTGTGCTGTGCCCATGGGAGTCTATGGCTGGCAGGCTTACCCACCTTTTTGCTTTGGTTGTAGGAAGGTACTATCACCAAGGACCAGTTCTCCTTGCTTAGAGCAGAGCAGCACAGGAATCCAGCCCACCCACGCACGAGGCCTTAAAAGGGGCCCTAAACTGGCTGTGATGGTGTGTGCCTAGAACCCCGGTACTTGAGAGCTGCAGGCAAGAGCCTTGGGAGTTTAAGACCAGTCTGGGCTACATAGCGAGTTCTAGGATAGCTTGGGCAACACGAAACCCTGTCTCCCAAAACCAAACTGAAGAAATGCCTCAACAGTTAAGAACAGTGGCTGCGCTTGCAGAGGACCCAGGTTCAATTCCCAGCATCCACATGGCAGCTCACAAGCATCTGTAACTCCAGTTCTGGGGAATCCAGTGCTCTCTTTGGGCACCAGGAATACATGTGGTGAACGTACATACATGCAGCCAAAACACCAATACACATAAACTAAAAATTTAAAAAATATATATATTTTTACGTGCTTGCTGCTCTTGCTGAGGACCTGGGTTCTGTTCCCAGCATGCATATGGTGTCACAACAGTCTCCTGCCTGGAACTCCAGTTCCTGTGGATCTGAACCCCCTTTTGAGTATCAGGCATTCAGGTAGTCCACAAATATACATGCAGGCTAGTACTCATACACATAGAATAAACGAATCTTAAAAACAAAAGGCCAGTCAGGTGGCAGTGGCACACGCCTTTAATCCCAGCACTCGGGAGGCAGAGGCAGGTGGATCTCTGTGAGTTTGAGGCTAGCCTGGGCTACAGAGTGAGTTCCAGGAAAGGTGCCAAAGCTACACAGAGAAACCTTGTCTCAAAAAAATCAAAAATAAATAAATAAAATAAAACAAAAAGCCACCATGAGCTGGACCTGTGGTGCATACCTATAATCCCGGCATTTGAGAGGCGGATGGCTGTGAGTGTGAATTCAAGGCAAACCTGGTCAACACAGGGAATTCCAGACTAGCCAGGGCCACGCAGTTTGTCTCAAACAAGATTTTGTCTGGACAAACCAACCAAGGCAGAGGTGGGACAGGAGAAGGAGACCTTACTTCATGCTCTCCAGTGCTTGGAAACCCGAGTGGCCTTACTGGGTTTGTTTTTTGGGTGAGACGGGCCCCAGGTCATCCTGTTCTGAGCAGCCACCCCAGGGACTCCGACTAAGGAGCACAGTGAGTGTGGCCCACCCCTCTGGCAGTCCCACTGGAGATTCCTGAAGTGACTTTGCCCTGCACCAGCCCCTGTGTCTGGAGGGTTGTGGTCTCAGAGGCCAACCTTCCCACACTGGGTCAGCCTTGATGTGCTTCATGTGTGTGCACCCTTACCCAGATCTCCAGGTCAGATGACCTCTGATCATCTGTGAAGCAGGGCGTGGGGAGGGTCTGGGTGGGAGGTCCGCCGTGCCCCTGGGAAAGGAAACTGGACAGCATCTGTCCCAACAGCTACTCACAAACCCACGGGAGTGAGGGCGGGTAGAGTAAGGGGCCACTAGGAGTTCCCCCTGGGGCACCAATCCTGCTCACACCCACCATGGGGCTTTCGGAGGCCCCATCGCTCTATGTGTTTGTGTTGGGTGGAAAGAACTGGTAATTGATGATTTAGCCCGAGTTTTCACCACGGGGATCCGGGTGGGGCTCCTGCCACCTTCCCCCTGGCCTCTGGGTCTGGTGTATGGGGCCGGGGCGGGAGTCTCCCCCTGAAATTGAGCATTCCCCACCCTACCTCCTGCAGCCTGTGAGCAGCGCTCTCTAGAGGAGAGCTCTTCCAGGCGGGAGATCCCCTGCGGCTCCCGGCTGGGGGCCTGCCAGCCTGGTAATTGGTGCATCGATTCGCAGCTGGGGTGTAAGGCTCTCGGATGGGGGCGGGAGGCCGAGTCTCGGGCAAGCCCTGGGGAGACATTGCCGGAGGGAGGCGGGGAAACCGGTGATGCTAGGTTAGGGAGGGCCTCCTTGCCTCGCTGAGCCACAGAGAAGGGATATGGGTAGGATCCCTGGGGTGGCCAGGGCCGCCCGGGCCCCCTTGGGCCCCTGGAAGAATTGGTTCCCACCAGCCAACCTGTTCCCACAGCCAGAAGTTGCCATGGTGACCCCCTCCCACCTTCAGCTACAGCTTTTCCAGTAAAACCACTGCCGAGATCCATACTTCCCGACAGGCACGCCTGCGGCCCCCACCCCCCTCGTGGCAGCCGGGAGCAGCTGGGAGTTAACCCTGCATATGCCGGGGACTGTTGTTTGGGGGGAAAGGGGGAGCGGGAGCCGGCAGTGGGGCCATGGGTAGGAGCGAAGGTGGACAGGGGAATGACCCTGGCCAGCGACTTGAGCAAGTCCGGAACTTGGAGCAGGGAAACCAAGCTGGCCTTGGCTTAGCCAGGCCCCCTGGGCCTCAGGGAGGCCTTGCTGGGGCCCACTGGCAGCCATACTCCAGACTCGGTGTGTGTGCGGGTGGGGGTGGGGGGATTGGGGGGTGGGCACTGGAAGGAGCGTGGGACAGCTGTGAACTGGAAAGATGTGTGAGGGAAAGGAGACAGAATGACCCTGGCCAGCGACTTGAGCAAGTCCGGAACTTGGAGCAGGGAAACCAAGCTGGCCTTGGCTTAGCCAGGCCCCCTGGGCCTCAGGGAGGCCTTGCTGGGGCCCACTGGCAGCCATACTCCAGACTCGGTGTGTGTGCGGGTGGGGGGGGGGGGGGGGGGGGGTGGGCACTCGGGTCTAAGTGGGACAGTGGGTTCTGTCGAGCTTGGCATGAGCCGCAGCCCCCCTCTGGCTTCCTCCCCTGTTCCGCAGGCACAGATTCTCTTCCTGGAGGCCGAAAGGTCCCTGCAGCCTGGAGTTTGGCTTTGCAAGTCAGCCTCCTGTGGGCTGTGGAGCCCCAGAGGTCCCAGCTGGGTCCTGCCTTGAGAAGTCGGGAGAATGACCCCCTGCTTGCACCTTTACGGTCTGAGGAAGAAGATGGTGTTTCTGAGAGGCACCAACCTGCTGGGCCCCAGGGACCCATGGTCAGGCCTCTATCAGGGAAGGGGTCCTTGGGGACACTGAGGCTGCAGGCCCAGGGGGCTCCATCTGTGGCTCTGGCGGGCCTCCCTCCCACTGTGAGCTGCTGCAAGCTCTAATTGTTCTCTGTAGCCGGATGAGTAATTGAGAGGTCTTTGAAGGGAATTAATTAGGCCGCTTATTGACTGTAAATGCTTGCCGTGGATGATAAAGGGGAGGCTGGCCGCCTGTGTGGGCCCGGCTGGGGCACAATCAGACATTTCATTCACATTCGGCTCCCTCTGGGGGTCAGCTGCTCAGCTTGGCAGGGACCTGACCCTCTTGTCTGTCCTGCCCCCTCCTTCAAGAAGGGACCAGGCAGGCTGAGCCCGGCTTAGTTTTTCCAACGCTACACCCCGCTTCTGGTATTTGGAGGCAGCACTAGCTATCCCCTAAGTCTTCCCAAAGGTGAGATGGGGTTCCCCGCAGGAGGAATGGGGGTCTATCCTGTCCCATGTTGGGAGCCCTTCCCTGGAATGTTAGGTTGAAGTCCAGAGGCAGGCTGGGGGCAGGTTCTCACCCTCAGCTCTCGGAGAGAGGTTACCTACGCTGGGGACCTGCTGTGCTGGCCCTGGGCCCCATCTCTCCAGCCCACCCCCGTGTCCCAACCCTTTTCTGGGAAGAGGGGAGAGACTGGAAACGGAGCACGCATTGCATTCCCACCCTCCTAGCTAGGGTCAGAGTGGAAACAGCCTTGCAGTTGGACGCAGTTAGCGAGGAGGGCTGGACAGTGCTGGGGTGGTGCCTGGCTGCCTTGCCCGGAAGGTGGAAGTGATAGCCTGGACTGAGAAGTAGCCATGGTAGCACCCCGTTCATATGGCCTCTGCTCCCGGCTGGCTGGCCGGTTCTAAGCCAGGTCCAGGCTGACTGACTTGCTGATTTTGTTTTCCTGTAACTATGCAGATCTTTTGCGAAGAGCCAGTACTGTGGAAATATTGTAGTTTGCAGAGATGCAGCAGCCTCTGGCTTGGTTAAGGATTGTTTGAATGAGTGAGTGAGTGAGTGAGTGAGTGAGTGAGTGAGTGAGTGAGTGGATGTGTTAGCCCCCTTTTCATGGAGCCAGAGGACCCATACTGTGAGGGATCTGCCAGGCCCAGGGAATGGCAATGTTGGTATCTTGAGATGAAATACAGACTCAGCCACTGGAGGACAACACCCTACCCTCTCCACTCCCCACCTCTCAACTCCCTCCTCTCCCCCCCCCCCGCCACGCTCCCCATACCTGAGTCCCGAGGAGTTAGCCCTTGACTCTAGAGTTGCTATAGCATCACGGGATCCTGTGAGACCTTGCAGATCAATTCAGGCCTGCAAGTGTGGGCACCGGAGCTGGTGCAGAAGGAGGTCGAGTGTGACCTTGCTCCAGATGGACAGGCCTCGACAGCTCTCAGATAGCTGGAAGGGAAAAGGCTATGGAACCAGGTGACTAGATCTGAAGTTGGGGGACCAGGAGGAGACAGCAGCAGGTGCCCCCTCAGAAGCATAGGGACTTGGCTGTTGCCTTCAGGGAGCTAGGGTTGTAACGATCCTGGCAGGAGGGACGATATATTTTTGTTTGTTTGTTTTTGTTGTTTTGTTTTGAGACAGGGTTTCTCTGTGTAGCCCTGGCTGTCCTGGAACTTGCTCTGCAGACCAGGCTGACCTCGAACTCAGAGAGACTGACCTGCCTCTGCCTCCACCACCATCTCTGCGTGCACCACCAAACCCCGGCCCAGGAGGGCAGATGTCCTACCAAGACACTTGTGCATCTCGCTTTGGCTGCTGGACTATTAAGAAGATGAACCCCAAGAATTTGGAATCTCGCCAGGAGTCTTGTGCTGGGAGAAGGGACCAGCCAGAGGGGAGCTTGTCTCCTTGGAAGAGATTTCACACCATTCTAGCAACTTGTTAGACCACCTACAGGAGAGAGAAGCTGGGACAATGATGAACCAGTGCCCACCTTGACCAGCTCTCCATGCCTCTTGCCCTCTGTTTAAACATAAAGCTCACACCAGGACCCTCAGATGGACTTGGAGATCACTGGACCTCTTTGGGTCTCTTCCTAATGTGCCCACACTGAATAAATCTCCTTTCTCTGCTTTTCACCATTGCTTGTCTCTTTAATTGGCCTACTGGGCACTGGAGGCTGAGCCTCCCTTGTTAGTGCTGCGGGGCCCAGCCAGGCTCTGACCCTAACAACTTGGGTAACAGGATGCTCTGGCGCCTTCTGTGCTTCCATCCGCCCTCCCTCCTCACCCTGCACTGGATTGGCCCCTATTGGGCCTTGTGAGCGGCCCTCTGCTTTCTCTTGGGTTCAGTTCGGGAGCACTGGCAGAAGAGAGGGGGTGGGGTGGAGCGGTGGTTACATCCTCTGCCTGTATGGGTTTGTATCTGCTCCTCCCTCCCTCCCAGTGGGCAGCTCCTAAGGGGCAGTCCTCTTTATTCCTCTTTCCCGGCCGGCCGTAGATACCCACACACACCTCCTCCAACTGTCCCCGAGGTCCTATGTGATGAGTTATTGCATGTGGATTTACACTTCACATCTGACTTAGCCAAAGCCACCAAGTTAGTAAACATGCCATCAGAAAGACCGGAACACGTGCCTGCCAGACAACTCCACACTGGAGTAGACAGATGCCAGCTATGAGTCTCTTCCCTCCTCTTCTCACCTCCAGGATGGCCCCCCACAGCCCCCTAGTGTGGTGACTGGGATTGTCTCCAGCTCCAGAAGCCACAAATGCCTCCAGGAAAGAGAAGCCCATCTTCCCCAAGGTGGCTGAAGCCAAGGACCTGGGACCTGAGGACAGTTGACAGTCACACAGAATGCATGGGATGAGTCGAGGGGGAAACCGAGGCAGCCAGGAAGGAACTCAGGTCTGTGCGCAGCCCACCCTTCATTCTTGACAGAGGTGTACTCCTGTTCTTCCAGGTCTGGGTGTCCGTATGTCCTTTCTACTCAGTGGCCATCCAGGAAGGAAGGGAGACTGGGCTCAGCCCCCTCTTTCCTGCTAACTTACGGGCGGACGGGCGTGTGACAAGAGTGACCAATCAAAGCCTTCCACGTGAATCCATCCTTTGAGGAGTCCAGGAGGTGTAGAATGCAGCTCAGTGGTAAAATCCATGCTTCACACGCTCCAAGAACTGGGTTCAGGTCCCAGCATCCAAAGGAGAATAAAATGAAAATGTAGGATTGTTCCTGGGAGCTGTGGGTCAGACAGTAAGGATCCATCTGCGATGTCTAGGCAGAATATGGTATCATTTGTGCTAATCAATACATCCTTAATCTATTTTCAGATACTCAATGTACCTGAAGGTGGATTTGAATTTCTGATCTTTCTTCCTTGATCTTCAAGTTCTGGGACTACAGATATGTCCAAAGCCAAGACTATAGATTGTAAGTGTGGAGCAATTTAGAGCTCTTACTTAGCACACATGAAGCTCTCGGTTTCATCTCCACCATGGGGTCGTGCATGCCTGTAATCTCAACGTTCAGAGGGTAGGGAGACAGGGATCAGAAGTTCAGGGGAGCTGGGCACACCTTTAATCCCAGCACTTGGGAGGCAGAGGCAGGAGGATCTCTGAGTTCAAGGCCGGTCTGGTCTATAGAATGACTTTCAGGACAGCCAAGCTACACAGAGAAACCCTGTTTTGAAAAACCAAAAACAAGAAGATTAAAAAAAAAAAAAGTTCAGGGTCATGCTTGGCTATATAGCAAATTTTAGGAAGGCCTGAGCTACATAAGACTCTATCTCTAAAAGAAGGTGAGTCTGGGGGATGGTGACTGCCACAGGCGTGAGGACTTGAGTTTGGATCCCCAGGTGCAGAGGCAAGCATCTGTGACCTAGTGCTAGGCAGGTGGATAGGCAGTCTACTAAGCGGTGAGCTCCTGATCAGAAGCGGTCAGCCTCTGGCTTCCACACATGCACACATGTGTGTGCACATACACATGCACCTACAAGCGTGTACACATGTATATCATACACACTGTCACAGAACATTTCAAAGTAAGGATGCATAACTTTACTAGGCAGTAAAGGAGGCCAATTCTCTTTTTATTGCAACTTTTATTACTTAAGTGTGTGTGTTTGATGGGTGTGCACACACATGCAGCAGTGTACATGTGGAGGTCAGGGGACAACTTCATAGAGTTGGCTCTCTGCTTCCACCTGTGGGTTCCAGAGATTAAACTCAGGGCATCAGGCTCGTATAACAAAAACCTTGCCTGTTTGGCTGTCTTGCCAGGCGTATATTATATTTTGTTGTTGGTATTGTTGTTTGTGTTTGTTTTTTTGAGACAGTGTCTCTATATGTAACCCTGACTGTCCTGGAACTCGCTCTGTAGACCAGGCTGGCCTTGAACTCACAGAGATCCACCTGCCTCTGCCTCTGCCTCCAGAGTGTTGGGATTAAAGGAGTGTGCCACCACGTCCAACTCCAGCCCTATTTTTGATTTTTATTATAAAAATGTTGTGGTAGTCGCTTTTGTATTGCGTGATAAAACTCCACGACCAAGGCAGCTTATAGAAGGGAGGGTTTGTTTTGGTTTGTGGCTCCAGAGAGATAGGAATCCATCACCATCATGTCAGAGAGCATGGCGGCAGGCAGCTGAGAGGTCACATCGTGAAACACAAACTAGGAAGCCGAGAGTGGACTGGGAATGGTGGGAGTCTTTAAACTCTCAAAGCCCACCCCCAGTGACGTCCTTCCTCCAGCAAGGCCACACCTACCAGCCTGTCCAAACAGCACCAACAACTAGGGGCCGAGATTCAAATGGCCGAGACTATAGGGGACGTCTCACTCAAAACCCCACAAATGTTTTGGATTGTCGGTGGGCTCAAGGAATCCCCATTTGGGTTCCATGGTTATTAATGTTTCCCCATATTTGTCTAATCGGCCTTCTATTTCCTGGTAAAGTAATTTTTAAGCTTTTTCCAATTGTGGTAAAACATGCCATTTTAACCATTTTTAAGTGTCCAATTCAGTGGCATTAAGTAATTTGAATTGTGTAACCACCATCCATCTCCTGAACCTTTCATCTTTTCCAGTCAAAGCTCTGTCCCCACAAAGTATAACTCCCCATTTCATGCTCCCCCAGCACCCAGAAACCACTCTTACTGTCTGCCACTGTCAGTTTATCTACGTGCAAGACGTCTTATGAGAGGAGCCACATGGGCTGGGGATGTGCTTCAGCGGGTAGAGCGCTTGTCTAGCATGCACAGAGCGCTGGGTTCCATCTCCAGCCACCACTACAACCAGCTGGGATGGTGCACACCAGTAATCCCAGCACTCAGGAATGCTGGGTAAGAGGTTCAGAAGTTCAAGGCTGGACATATCAATTGAAGTCAACTGGGCTATCGGAGACCCTGTCTCGAGAAGAAAAAAGGACCGACAGAGCATTTGTCCTGTTCAACTGGCTTAAATTTTTTAAAATTTATTTTATATGTATGAGTGTTCTCCCTGCATGTATGTATATGCACCGTGTGTGTCCTAGGTGCCTAATTAGGCCAGAAGAGGAAGTTAGAGTTACAGATGGTTGTGAGCCGCCACATGGGTGCTGGGAACTGAACCCTGGGTCCTCTGTAACAGCAGAAAGCGTGCTTAAGTACTGAGCCACCTCTCTAGGTTCCCAACTGGCTTATTTTGAACAACACAGTAACTCTTCAGGTTTAATGGACTTACTGGCATGTGTTGGAATCACCTGTCCCTTTAAGGCAGAAGGACGTATCATCCCATTGTAGGGCTACCATATTTTCTATTCGCATTCATCGGTTGGGGGACACCGTCCAGCTGCAGACACGGCTGATGTGGAATTGCTGGGCCATCTTCTGAGCCTGCATTTAACTTTCTGAAGAACGGCCAGACTTGTTCCACAGTGGGCACACCTCCCACAGCCCCAGCAATAGCAGGCACACAAGGTCCCCAGCTGGCCAACATTGGTTGTCTGTGGCTTTGGAGGTTTTGTTTGTTTTTGCTTTGGTCACAGGCTGGCCTCCAACTAGGTAGCCAAGAATGACCTTAAATTCCTGATTCTGCTGCCTCCACCTCCCAGGTGCTGGGATTATAGGTGTGTGCCACCATGCCCCATTTATGTAGTGCTAAAGATCCAACCTAGGGCTTCATGCATACTGGGCAAGCATCTACCGGGTGAGTACACCCCCAGCTCTTGTGGTTTGTTTGATTTTAGTTACGTTTATATATTTATTTATTTATTATGTATTTGTGCATACATGTGGGGGCGCACTGTGTGTGTGTAAGACAGAAGACAGCTTGTAGAAGTCTGCTCTCTCTTTCCACCATGTGGATTCTGGGGATGTAATTCGAGTGGTCAGGCTTATCCACGGTGCCTTTACCTGCTGAGCTGTCCAGACCGCCTTGTTTGTGTTTCACGGTTGCTGTCCTAGGAAGGACATCCTGGGCTGTGGCCGTGTATGTGAGCCTCCTTTTGGCTGAAGATGCTCCGAGGTGGGTTTCTCTTTCTTGGACCTAGTACTGACTAGGGTGGCTTTAGTGGCCTGACCATAGTAGCTGTGGTCTGTGAGAAGCTGCCTTCTCTTCTGGGACAGCCCAGGTGGGGACTTCCTCCTCAGGGACCAGGTGCAGGCCACTCTGCCACCTCAGTCTGGAGTCTGGAGTTCCAGTCACTGCCTCGTCCCTTGGAAGGAGGTATGGCGTGATGGTGGGAGGGAAGGGCTTTGACCTCCATTTCCAAGGGGAGAATTTAGTTGAGGGCCACCCCTGTTGCAGGGCGTGGGGCTGGGAAACCTGGTCCCTGGTAGGATATCCACACCCTCTTCATTTCCTCTTCGAGGATGGAACGGGTTTTGGTGATGGCAGCGGTCTTTGGGCAATGTAACAGATCTTGACGAGGCCATTGTTGCCCTTCATTCTTTCTCGCCCCACAGGCTCAGGAAGTTCCAGGGGACCAAGGATCCCTTGGGACCTGAGTGCCCAGCCCGCCCACAAGGCCAGCGAGCACTCCAGTGGAGTCAGTGTGTCCTGGGACTCCCACCCCCAGCAGCCGTCAGGGTCACTGGGTTGAACAGTGGCCCCCAGGACCTTGTTTGACTCTTCAGCGTCTCCTGTGTTAAAGGCCGGGACTCTGTAT